ATGCACCAAGCTATTCCACTTTTCAAGGATTTTTTCTTGCATAGGAGGGATGCTTGGGGCATTTTACTAGAAAACAAGGGACCTGAGTTTGTGTTGTAATAAATAAAACTAAAAATTGCATACAGCTGTATTTAAACACCCACTGGAGCAAGTGCTGAAAGTTGACTCTTCAGGAAAGTACGTTGACTATCAATTTATAATGTAAAGAAATGAAAAGTGAACCAGTCAGTGGCACCCAACACCCCATAAAAACAAAAGTGTCTGAGCCCTATCCTTGTTCTTTGTACTGATGCTCTGCTTGGCTTTCTGGACTTTTCACTTTCCATTCTTGAGGCTGCCTACCCGGCAAACCTCAGGAAAATCAACTTGAATTAACTTCTTGAAAAGCAACCTATCCAAGGCACTACTAGCTAAGTTTCTGCTGACCTACTTAGGACTAGAATAGCTGGCAAAATTGTTTTACAGAGCTCGATTTCAGAGGTAAACTCCAATTGAACTGCTACAGTGTTGCTGTAACTTCAAAGCAGTGTCAAACCCAGAATTAAATAAAATTTCAGTGACTTTGAAGTGACACCTCCAGCAAGTTAATTGTCCTGCAGACAGGCTTTCAGTGCCCACATCCTCTGTTTGGGTTATGTACTGGACAGAGGCACTTCAACTGGGCCTAACAAGGTAAATTATACAGTACCTATTATCTTTTTTTTTTTGCAGAATACCTTTCCCTTTGTGCTGCCATTTCAGAATATGATCAAAAAGTCCTTATTTAGAGGTTGCAAGCCTTCCCCCCTACCCCTTCAAAAAAATCCCCATCCCCTTCACATCCAGCTTTGTAAAGCCAGCACCAAAATACCTCTGACTAAGCTATAAAGAGGCAGTTATAGCTCCCGACTGCAGCTTGAGATAATAGTTAACTTAAATCCTGCTGTTTGGCAGAAAACAAGTCTCTGCAGTATTGGATTCAGAGGGCAGCATCATGTCTGGAAAAACAAACAGGAAGGAGAAGCAGCGCTGCTTTGGGCTGTCAGAGAAAACCCTGACAGATGAGGAATTAGAGAGACGGATCTTCTTTAGGGAGGTTACATCTTCCTCAGCTTTTACTTTCAATTACTTGGAAAGATCAGGGACACATGCAGGAAGAATTGCTCATTTATATTAATGGACCATATATTTATGTTGATCCCCCCCTCCCCTCAACAGCCCATCCTGTCACTGTTTCAGGCAAAAGTGTTGGTTAACTGCAAAGTCCCAGATCTTATCTATCCCACTTATTACCACTAAATATCCGTGCTGACTGATGGCTATCAGGTTTTCCCTTCTCTGAGGAAGAGATCTTTCTCCTCATCTTTACAAAACCTCATTTAGTCCAGAATTATGGAGTTGTGGTTTTGTGGTGTGTTTTTTTTTTTTTCCTATTAACTTAGTCTAAAGAACCCTCAAGAATTTTAAATTTAAAAAAAAAAAAAAATTTAGAAAAAGAAAGCAAACCTCAGACCACACTCTTCCCTCTCATCTCTGTCCTACCACCACCATGTCATAATTGTTATATACGTGATTTTTAGAAGCGTTTTTTTTCACCAGCAAGGTACATTTTCAAGGTACATTTTGTTGCTGGCTCTGGCTTAGTTGGGATCTCAGTAACACTATTTATACAATGTCATTTTTCAAAGAGCTGCATGCTCTAAATAGCTAATGCAAAAAGGTGGCATGACCACAGTAAAAGAACTTAATATTATTCATGGAATACCAAAAGGGAAAATGGAACAGTGGATCACATTAATTCTAGCAAATACTATTATTTTAAACTCATTTAAATGCAAGTCAAAATTACTGAGCGTATCATGCTAGAAAGTGACTAACATTTAGCATCTCACTGCAACAAGACCAAACAGAAGCTGGCTGGGAAGTTGGTCAAAGAAGGGGAAATTCTACCTTTATGTTTTACTTATTTGAAACAGTATTTAATTACACCAGTTCTCATTTGTTCCAGGGGTCTCACTGTTGTCGTCCTTTCACCTGGATCTGCCATAAATCAGCCAATGCTACTCCAAAGCCTGTTTTTCCAGTACCACATATCCCAAACTTACATCATTCTTCCTATTTTTCAACCTTTTTGAGATAATAGATGTAATTACAATACCAGTAACAAACCAATGTTATTGGGTTCCTGTGATGTGCTTTCAATTTCCAGTTAAGCAATCCAGAGACTTAATCTATTTTGCCCCCACTGCACATATTTTCACACATTAAAATAATAATTACAAGTAACTTCTTATGGCTGTTTAATGGACTCCACTGAGGTGAGAACAGGCAGGAATATTTTTATAGCACTGGACAGCCAGAGTCTATATATAACTTCATTTTTTTGATCATGAAATTGAGAACAATCAAATCCTTTTTCATGGAGGCAGTAAATATTTCTCTTCCTTTCTTTCTCCTTAACAATTCAATACAATATTTTGAGAAATGCCCATTGATGTTACTACGCCAAGGCAATGAAGTGCAATGTGTACACGACCTTTACCTTTAAATAATAAAAATAGCTTGAATGTGTTAACCTGTGCAATGCTGTCCAACCTCTCATCTACAGTTCATGTTCAACAAGAATGGGTGCTAATTCAATTGTCATGACAACCAAAGTCTCTACTTTCATATTTTCTTCCTCCAGTCCCATTTGCTTATAAATCTCTAATGTTCCTATGTCGAATTCAAACACAAATAAAAAAATCTCAGGTTTGCAAGAAACATGAACGGAGTAGCTGGCAACTTACACTGGAAAATATTTTTAATTTTCACCCCTCTGTTTAACTAGCAGCAAAGAGATTTTAAAACAATTTTCATAAGTAACTCATACTCTTATTGGAGTGGTCTAAGCCACATGTGTGGTTCATTAAACCCAGTATCCAGTCTCCAATGCGAGTTAATACCAGAGGCTTCAAGACACAAAATTTCAAGACCTAAAATTTCTGTTCGTTGGAGGGGATTAAAAAAAAAAAAAAAAAAAAAAAGTCAAATTCCCATTGTTTTCTGAAAATGGGATCTGAATAGAATGCATTGTCAAATTAATTGCTGAGCAGAAATTCCAGGAGCAGTTGATTTGAAAAATAATGTATTTTTTATCACATCAAAATATTTACCCCATTCCTTGTAACTGAACACAAGTCCTCCCAGAGTGGTCCCAGCATACAACAGAAAGATCCCCAAACTAAAACCATTCTAAATATTAAAATATAGGGATACCTAATTCACATCTGATCAGATTTAACTGAGAAACTGCTTGAGGACTATACCTTACAAAAATAAAATGGTAAAGTGTGAAGCTTTCTGGAAGCAAAGTGAAACAATTTTGAGTTTGTGACAAAACAGAATTCATGAAGAGGAAAATTCTAACAGGAAAACTGGGAAAAACCTCAGGGACCATTAAAGATTTTCCTTAAAAGTGGCATCTAGCAAGTAAAAAATATAATCATTCACACAGATGTGTTATTTCCCAGAGGTTCTTTAACCACTGCCTTGTTTCCTTCATAAAATTTTAATGACAGAGAAGCACCACTTACATATTGCTTTTTGGCTGTAACATCAAACCTGCAAGGGTTTTAGTTTTCTATCTCTTGTTTTTTCAATTGATTTATCTCCTAACAAGTCAAGGTGCCCTGAAGGGAATCCAAAAGGCTATTTTAAAAATGAATATTTCATTGGGTACTCACACTATTATACAGCTGAGTGTGATGGAACACACTTGTTATGTTTGGCACAACTTAATTCTACAGCTCCTGGGTTTTAATGAATCTGATCTATCCCACTTATTGCCATTAAATATCAGTTCATTCTGCATATTTATAGTGATACTTCTGCCTCTAAAATCACTCAGGGCTGGGTATTTCTATGTTAATATCTGTGGTGGGAATGTGTTTAGAAAATCCTTCCTAAATGAGAAAGTGAAGTGAGGGAAAAAAAAAAAAATCTACCAGTTTTCTTGGCTTGTCTGTTTAGCAGCCAACAAACAAATTAATGAGCAGGGTGACTTAAACAATAAACCATAGAATGGGTTAAAGACCAACATAAATTTGAAGAACAGCAGTTAAATGAATAAAGATAAATAACCAATACAGTTGAAGAGGAAAGTGATCCAGACTGACATATAATCCAAAAATCAAGTCTGGCTATAAGCAGTGATCTCATAAAGCTAGAGAGACAAATCCAATCTGGAGCTGTGCTTCTGTGAAATTAAACACTGTCCAACATCTGATATGAATGACAGGAGCCACCTCTCTCTCAGTGACAACCAGCATTTTCCACTCAAGCAACCAAAGCAATGAATTTTAGATTTTGCTTTGTTGAACAGCAATGACATTATAGATAATCCAGTAGTAAGAAATGCCTTTGGGTAGAGCGCAGACTGCCTCAGTTTGCATTAACAGAAAGACAGAACAGACCTCTTAATGTGTTTTTGGTGCAGAAGGGAAAGTTCTGAAATCCTAAGGGAACCAATTACATAAGTCAGACAGAGAACTTCCGGACTTGATAATTGATGGGGTTTGAAAGTTACTGAAAACTGTCTGAGCAACTCGCATAGGGAAACAGTCTGGTTCTAAAGGGACTAATTACTGCTTTGGCAGCACAGTTTCCCTGAATGCAGAACCTGGCCACTCATTTTGAAACTTCTGGGGAGCAGGTGTTACATAAAAAAAAAAATACAAATTATCAACTGCAGAGCTGTGCAGATCAAAACCAGTAACATTGTTTAACATGTACTCAAGAAATCCGGAATTAACCCAGAGCGTTAGATTAAAAAGGTTACAAAAGAGTACTAGGAGTTCTTTGCAAAGAAAATATTACTAGCAAACATAATTTGCCCAGTTGATTTCTGAAATGTGAATTTTTCTTACCCTCTGTTTCTACACACAACATAATGGCAATACACTGCAATTTGAAGTGCTTCTCAGTATACACCAGCTGTCAAAAGCACTTTAAGAGTTGCATAAAATACAGAGCCCAAGGTCTTCAGATTTAATATTTTATTTAGAGACATCCAGCTTGTACTGCAGCTATCATTTTCCCACTGAAAGGTGCTGGGTAGAAGACTTCCAAGTCTGCAAGGAAAAGAAATTAAAGAAATTTAGGAACTCCATATTACTATTAATATTACAAATACAAATAAAATTACAAGTTATTATCTGAATATAGAACAGCTATAAACACATATTTTAATTAAAATTTTTGATGGGCTTGGCTTCATCCATCACCTGGTTTTGCAGCAGAGGCCTTGACTTACATGAAGCCATACAGTTCTAAATGCTTAAGTTCAATAAAAGGTTGCTGATTTTTGTTTCCTTCTCAGTCCAGGGACTGAAAAACATCAAACTGGCAAAGGAATTACAGAGATAACTTCACTTTATTCCAACTATGAGATGTCAGAGAGGATTGTTATTTCCTTCCAAGAACTACTTGGGTTATTCCAGTTTCGAAAAATATGTTTCTCAAATTACAGAACTGACAATACCAGGTATTTCCAAGGTGGAATGGAATTAAGACAAACTTAAGTAGCCTTTCAACTGCAAGTGATATGCTACAGCCTGGGTCATATCTGAGGCTTGCTTTGTTAGGACCATCAGCGAGAATCAATTAATTTCTGTTAATGACCTCTTTTCAAGTGGACTTTAGGCCAGAACTAGTCAGGAAAAATGCAGTTGGTATAATTATTTGGATATGGCTGAAGAAGTTTAAGAAATCTTGTTTTCTACTGTTCTTTATCTGGCACATCAGAACGCATTTACAGCATCACAGGCTCTTATCCTGTTTTGCCACATCACACATGCTAATTACTCCCACAGGTTGTGTCAGGTGTACCTTTGTGTCTCCTCAAAGGTGAAAGCAGACATGGTTCTGGTTACAGTCAGAGGTGTGGCCTCTGGGGAGGCAAAGTTCACAAACCACTGAGTGCAGCAGCTCTGTGACACAAACTAAAACCTGTCCATTATTTGAGCCATTATGATGCAATTGCAGCTGTGAGCATGTGGACTGCAAAAGGCTGAAAATTACAATGATTTTTGATGAGGCCAGGCTCTTCAAATTCCACTGTGCTGTGAAAAGCAATAAAATCAGTTACCCAGTCAGTGGAGTTACAGTCTGTGCCCTTCATTTCTTCAAGAGCTGGTGTCTGACTATGAGGAAAGGGGCAGCAAATCCACTTCCAAAGAATCCACACATCAGTGCCAGCAGCCGCCACTTGTTCTCCACAGAGAAAGGCAGGTTCTGGAGGAGAAAAGGGAGCTTTAGCTTTGCAATCCATGCAGTTTAACTGCTGTCTCATTGACTTGAAAACAGTGAGAAACTCAGAGCACTAAGAAGTAGAGCCAAGTTAGTAAAATAAATATGCCATTTCAAAGTAGTTTCCCTTCCTTTCAATGAAAGAAATGCAGTATTTGTGATGATAAATAACCGGCCACTATCTGAAGGGCACCTACAGGGAAGCTGGAGACAGACTCTTCAACAACTGCGGTGACAGGATGAGGGGAAAGGGCTTCAAAGTGGGGGAATTAGGGCTGGATTTATAGAAGAAATTCTTCCTGTGAGTGCGCTGAGGCCCTGGCACAGGTTTCCCAAAGAAGCTGAAACTGCCTCACCCCTGGAAGTGTCCAAGCCAGGTTGGACGAGGTTTGGACCAAGCTGGGCTAGCGGAAGGTGCCTTTGCCCGTGGTAGGGGATCAGAATTGGAAAATCTTTAAGGTCCCTTCCAACCCTTAACACTCTCTGGATGTGACCTCTGGAGGTCACTTTGTCGCCTCTCCCTGCAGCCCAAAGCGGTCCCACTTCACTGCAGGTCTAACCCTGCCCCGAGGACACACATGCACAGCCTCCCCAGCGTCCTGCTATTTAATCACCTGTCCCGTGAAGGTTTTCCTCACTTCCATTACGTACGTTTTAAACCAAGTTTTTAGACAGAGGGCTTTGAGACAACCCGCCCAGCACGAGGTACATCAGAAAGCGTTTACAGTATCATTGTTGTTGCTCATACCGCAATGCTCATCATCTGTACCACCGCAGGGAAGGGCGCTGGAGGCCGGCATCGCACGCTTTACCCTGCTTTCGGTGTTATGCCAGCACAGCGCCACCCCAAAGCCACACGACAGCAGGTGATCACAGGGCGGCCATCACAGACATCCCCGTCCCCCCCCCCCTCACCCCTCACGACCCTAAGCGGACCGAAACGCTCCTACCCACCTTGCCAGGTCCCTCCTCATAGTGGCTGCGGCGGATGGCGGAGGTGGCGAAGCGGCGGACGCCGGCGGACAGCATGATACAGACACGACCCGGCGCGGCTCCTCCGCCCTGCGCGACCTTCCCGAGCGCGGCGGGACTGAGGGGTAGCCGGAACAGGAACTGGGCGGTACTGGGGCATGACGGGAATTGTAGTTCCGAGGGGGTCATGTGGGGCCGGGCCGCGGCCCTCGGTTGGTCGAGCCACGCGCTCGCGCCGGCAGCGGCAGAGCCGCCGTCCCGCCCCCGCCACCATTTTGTGGTGACTGAGGGGAGGTGGGGAAATGGCGGGAGGGAGCTGAGCCCGCGGGGGTGGGGCTGTGAGAGGCTTGTGGCGCTGGAGCACATCTGTGCTGGGGGAACGGGACAGGCTCTAGTGTAGAACTGCCGGATCTCGATAAATGGGCGAAAAATAGAATCACAGAATGGTTTGGGTTAGAATGGACCTTAAAGATAATCTCGTTCAAGTCCATGGGCAGGGACACCTTCCACTAGCCCAGGTTGCTCCAATCTGTCCTCGGACCCTGCCAGGGATCCACGGCTTCTCTGGGCACCCTGTGCCAGTGCCTCACAGCCAAGAATTTCTTCATACTACCCCATGTAATAATACCCTCTTTTGGTATGAGTATCATCCCCCCTCGTCCTGGCACTCCATGCTCTTTTAAAGAAGTCTCTGTCCATGATTTATGGATTCTGATGATTTATATAGTTTCACTAACTTTAATGAATATATAGCAAACTACTTAAATTACTCTTCAAAGAAACTTTGACAATATGAAGGTAAAAAAAAAACCCACCCTCAGCACGCTTCATGTTTGTCAACATTAATAAACACCCACAAAGTTATTTCCAAAATTGGTGGTCTCCATCTTTTTTTTTTTTTTATACAGTATTAAAAAAAAAAAATTGGGAGGCAAAGTCTATTAAAGCAGGAGACACAAAAGCAAGAATAAAGAGGAATTTTTCAAATATTTAAAGTGTATCAAATAAATTATTCACATAAAGTGGAGCTAAGTAAAAAGATAGGTTCAATATCCAGGAATGATTTCTTTTATAAATTGCAAAACTGTAATATGAATGAATTTGCACTAGGTGCACTTGTGAGGCTTGTAATGGTGGCCTCTCCTTATGGAAGCAAATCAGCACTTTATTCAGATATCTGCTTGTTCTGGCATTGCTGTAGCATATGCTAAAAAAATCTTGTATAGATTTCAATCTTCTTCATAAGAAGTTGTTCTACAGCTGAAGAAATTTGTGTGAACACAGTCTGTTCTCTTTCAAAACATAAACTGATACAAACTGAGAGTGCTAGTCCAGCTGCGTGGAAAGCCACGCAGGAAGAGTTTAGAGTAACAGATTCAGCTGGCATTGATTGGTTTTTGGCAGAGAAATGAAAGATAGTATCTTCCAAAGTGTTAAAAATATGAGGTACAATAGTTATAATGAGGATAATCGTTATGAGGGCAGATTATTACAGGAGATGGTAAGTGCTGTACTGGGTGTCTTTGTAAAAAGTGTCTAACTCACAAATTGTGGAACTCACAGAAGAAGTCACTGGATGAAATTCCCCGCCCTGTGTTATGGGTAGAGTCAGAGTGGGTGATTACAGTGGTACCTTTTAAATCTCTGAATCTTTAAAACTAGGCTATTATTTCACATATATCTTTTTATGTCTACAATCCTTGCTTCCTGTAACCCCCTTTGCTACTGTAGTTGCTTAGATTTGCCAGGTTATCTCTTCATCTTCAGCAATATATTACATTTTACTGCTTCTGAATATAACTTGGTGATGAATTCTTTCAGGTGCTGCTTTCTTGCTCGCTTTCAAGAACATTTGTGTTCTTGAACTAGAAGGCAAAAACACAAATAAGAAAAAAACCCCAGGTAACTAAAGAAAATAATGTAAAATATCTGTCTTGTGTGATCTTGATGGAAGAAAGAAGCATAGAAAGCTTAGTGTACATTTTACAGAATAAATAGGGCCATACAGCGCTGTGCATTTTGAAGCTGCCAATCACTGAAATACAGTGATAGAACCAATAAAAGTAAACCGACTTTTAAATCCCCTTTTATGAGTGAAGGAAACAGCTGGTTTTAGATTCTGGAATTATATATGATTAAGTTCAGATGTATGTACTTCATGAGAACAGCATAAACTCATGAGGTCTCAGGAGTCAAAACAGCCATTGTAAATGACACAAAATTATCATTTTTCTGCAGAAATTATCCTCTGGTTTTGTTATCATGATAAATTATTTTGTGTAGCACTTCAGCATAGGAGACACCCTCCAGTCATAAGGTCAAGTGTTAACTACAAGATTAAGCAGTTGTTAAATGGTAATTAATGAAAGGGGAAAGCTGAATAGAAGCTATAAGTGGCATTATATCATAGATATTAATTACGTGTTTTTTAACAAAACTGTGGTTTAACAGAAATACCTCTGATAGAGTAATTTGTCAGCCTTAGTCTAATTTCACAATTATAGAAGGTCTTTCATAAGAGTAATTTAGCTTGCCTTATATTTGATAGTTGGGTTTTTTTTTCCACAAAGTAAGCATTCTGAAATGTAAAAATATGTTACAAATGTAAAATAAACAGATTAGAGTATTACAAATAACATGAGGTCTTCAACTGCAAAAAGAATTGTTAGTGTGCAAAGCATCTGTATTTAGGAACATGAAAGGCTGAAAACCTTAAAGTGAAACAATAAAAGTAATATTAGTTTAAAAGAATTATCACTTGTAGAAGATATTTACCTTGCTTCCGAAGAGCCCACATAATTTGTTGGAAAGTGGAGTAGTGAGAAGAATTGTCTTTTGGAAACAGTTACAGTGTTTTTGTAAACACTGATTGTCCGAGGATGCTCCTGGGAGAAGGTTGTTAGGAGAAGTAGCATCTTTTATTTTTCCATTACAGCTGTTAAAATCAGTCAAGCTTCCAAATGTGCGAACCTTCCTTAAGGTGTGAAACTGAATGACTTTCAAGTGTAAATATACACTGAAAGTAATTTTTGCAAGGCATAATTCAATGGACACTTCCCCCCCCACCCCCACAGTTCTTTCAAGTGGATCATTTCACAGATCCAGTTCACCGTGTAGGGGCACGAAGACTTGCACTGGTTCACAGAAAGGTGTGAAACAGCTGTAGCATCAAAAATGAGGAAATGGAGGCAATAGCATTAGTGCTTTTCTTGGCAGCAACATCAGTTAATGTTGGCAAAAAGAGCTTGTCCAACTACAGCTTTAGTGCTGAATACATATATGTATTATTAGGGATTAGGGGGTATGAGGAAATTATTACATGAAACAAATCAAATTCTTTCTGAAGTGCCATACTTCTAATGTGTAGTGCATTTATTAATTTCATTTTCCAAGATCATCCTTGATAACATTCAAGATGTTACTGTGGAAAGTATTAAAATATTATGCACTTTTATAAGCAGATTTCAGTATATCATGTAATATCATGTAATGTTATAAACAAGAAGATAAAATAATTGAAAATTTATGTTTTGTTCTATAATATCTTTATGTCCAAAGGTCTCCCTGACGAGTGTTGTCTTTCTGTCAGCCACTGCTGCAGAAATGCAACTTTAAAATGTCTTTAAAACTGTGTAATTAATGTTTTTAACCTCTTACAGTTAACATAAGAACATATTAACATTTAGCATATGCAGTTTTATTTACTGTTCTCAACCTGAATTGAAATCCTATGATTTTAGCATCTGTTTGAAACAAAAAGTGGGCCTGGGCATCCAAATTTGGGCTGTTAGCTCTGGTTGAATAATTTAGGTTACTCCCAGGATTGTAGGGGGAAGTAACACAGTACCTGTGTAATTCGGGCTTCTAAACTGTCATGACTACAAAAGACCTATAGGCACATCTTTGTAGTGTTGCTGCTTATTAGATGGGTCAGTCACTTGTAAGTACTGTAGTGTCATTTTGTTGTAAAAAATACACATATTATGAAAAGCTGAGCACAAATTCATAAGGTTGAATGCTACTAACGAGAGCAGGTTGAGTAGAGCTGTAGATGGATGTGCATAGTGACAGAATTACAGTTTTGGCAATGTACCTGGATAAATTTATTTTCACCCTTACGTGAAATAATTCAAAAGTTGCACCTTCATATAAATGACTCCTTATGCGTGTGAACACTCGTTTGTATGTACAAAACCGTGTTTCAGCAAGTGTCTGACAATGATATTTCACCCTGACAGAATTTTTATTTTTTTGTTATTAATCTTTTGCAGCATTAATGAAACCTGCCAAAAGTCTGTATAAAATATGTAATGAAAGATTTGTTCCACAGAACCTATTTTAGAGGCCTTATGAGAATAAAGCACTTGCACAGTGAGAAAGAGCCACTTTGCATTATTTATTTTGTCTTCCTGTCTTTCTCTAAAATGGAGTATTTTTATAATAGACACCAAGACATATTTGGTTTATAATTACAGTAAGCACTGTTATAATTACTTGCATTTTGAACTATGTCGTTGTAATAGTCATTGCTTGGTTGCTAAAGCTTGTGCTTGAAGGAGCTCTTTTGTGTATAGAAATATCTAGGAGCCCCAGAATCACATATTTGCCCTCAATTTACTTGGAGGTGCAATAGTCAATTTACATGGTAGTAAAAACCAAAAACTACCCTTATTTTTTTCTGCTCTAACTGTGCTTATTTTTTCTATAGTTTAAAAGCTGACTTAAAAAAAAATCCTTTTTTTTTTTTTTTTAATTTTGGTTTTGTTTAATCAAGGGAGTTGAAGTCTTGTTGGTGGTTTCTTCATCAACAGGACAGTATGTGGTTCAAAATATACAAGGGGGTAGAAAAGAGCCCTCAAAATAAAACTATTACTTTCTTTCTCTAATAGCAGTCATCTTTTAAGCAAGTATTGCCCTAGTTTTTCTTGTTTATATGTTGTCGGACTATAAATTCACTTGTGACAGTCTATGCACAACAGCTTCTAACTGTGTTTTTTACAACAAGGATGCCTGCCAGTGGGGTTACTTCTCACTTACCATGATGAAAGAACAGTAAAAATCCATTCTGAGGTACTTAATGCAGACATGCCAGTGTTGACAGAGGGTGAAGTAGTGTAATTTTAATTTTGACATCACTGAGGATGTAAAA